GTCAAAGTCAAATTGATTTGCAAATGAGTGTATTTCGCTAGTCTGATGCAGTTCGGGTTCAAGTAGAACATGAGATTGACGGAAACTCAGGGACTGCGCCTACCTGATGAGCCCCAACAAGAGCAAAACCGGTCTTGGGCTGTCGAAGATTTCTCAGAAAAGTTGTGAGTAGTTTCCTTTATAGTCGTACAAATTTGGACGACCTTTTTTGAACGAAAGAATCAACATGGAATTCTGATTTGCCTCGGAGCAAATACACCGTCCACTGAGAATCGATGATAACAAGAAGTGGTGAAACAAGTCTTAGGCAGCGGAAGCAAAAGCACTCAAAGCCAACTCTTACCATCTGGGACCACTACTGGAAAGGACATCGTTCATCGCAGTGGGTCACTGGTGACCTAGTTTAATCTCATCATGACTTACCTTCCCTCAAGGAATATCAGTTTCAGATCCAAGCTTGCACGAAACATAAACATGCCAGACGTCAAGCGGATTTCTGTGTTGTTCGCATTTGGTGATGGGATCGCATAGGCAAAAGCAATCAGACCTAAATTCTGATAGTAAGGGAAACCATCCACTGTCACTGAGCGGACTTTCAGATGACCGCTACAATGGATCACCTGTAAAAGAAAAACGTGAGCGGGTTAGGGGATGAGAAATAGAGCTAAGTCGCTGCATATATAATCGTCAATTTGTAGGTAGGTGACCAATAGAAAGAGGTTCTCACCATGGTGTAACGTGACCGAGGCTAGCTGCATGGTTTGAGAAGAACCGGCCGTTACCAATAACAAGACTGTGTGTATGGACAAATTTTGATGGAAATCAAATTCGTATGAGATAATACACTACTCACGTAGAAACATCATAAACGAGAGACTCATCTGGGTCCAAGGTGAGTCTGTCGCAAAAACCAAACTTGTTTGCAAATGAGTGCATTTCTCCAAGTTCGTATGAGTTGAGTCAACAGGTTTTATGCTGACTTGTCTGCACAGATTACACATTTTGTTTGTTTTAAATGTGTCGAACCTAATTAGCAATATTTTGGATGTCTGTAAACCTAAATGTGGCAGTCATCACAGAGCGTTTTCAAGATTCCCGACTTCAAAGGGAACACGACCTTACCTGGAAATATCTCAACTGAGCCTGGATACTTAGCGCAGCTAATTCATTGATTTTTTTATGTCTGAAATAGCGCAAGTGACAACTTATTCCAGTGAGATCTTAGACTTACATGTAGTATTTCCAAACGTCGAAATGTGTCTGCATCTGGGCAATACAAATTACCGAATAAAAATATTAAATGTTAGGTTAGCGATAAGGAAAAATACACCCTTGCTCTTGTTACCCTAGATGACTTACCTTAAAACCGGCCGTTGTAAGGCCGGCATTTCGCTTGGCCAGCACACACTTGATGCGTAGAACAAAACTACGCTCCAAAAGGAATTCTGAATGCAGCAAGAACAGTAGAGTGATTTAGTGTCAACGAATATTTGAATCTGAGATGAACAAAGTTACAAGTCATGTTGCACAAGATAAATGGGCATCTTTCGCAAGTAGAATAAACCCATGTGCCACACCCCTTCCGATCACATACCGCAAAGTTCAGTGGAGAGAGGGGGGAAGAGAAAACGGCATTCTTTTGCTGCTGATTAAAACAACATTGCGGATAACATTGTGCCATCGCACACAGTCCTGCCTCCTGTCATCTTAGGGGAGAAGAGCAATCAAAACATTGTGGGTTATCTTGCGATGTGTGCTTTCGTCTAGCTGGATTGCTGCCTATCCCGCCCACCACCGCGGATCGAGCGGGAATCACAACTCTCATGCAGCTGTTAAAATATCGAATCAACGTGAAAACGAAGTGTGGGGGAATTTCAACATTTTTGTGTTTGTTCCCGGAGAATGTATACGTGACTCCCGGCTTCATTGTGTTCGGTTTAATTGACATTTCCAGTCGAGTATGCTTGTCATTCCACATCTCTTTTCGGACTACTGTCCAAAATTAGTTGGAAAAATTCCGCATTTAGCAAAGTGTTTATACTCTGCACAGTGTAAACTCAGAAGTCTATCGGCAAATAACTGGTGTTCCTATAAACACATCCATGTGGTCGCCCACGTCAGAAAGTAGCAAGTGATTCTACCTATCTTCGGCTTTAAGTTTGTGAGTACATCTCACCACAATTAGAAGTTTTTTTTACAAAAGTGCGCGAAATAATTTGGAGGTCAGTAATCTTTTTTATCAGCTGCACCGTTGGATGGGGAGATTCCCATCCGTTCCGTTTACGAAACATTTTCGTTTGTTGAAATGTCATGCTGCGAACAGTGAGCAACATATTTGATGGACACCACCTGCAAAGGTTGCAGGAAGACGGTGAGACGATTGTCTGGAAGAGTTCGCTAGATCAAATCAGGTGTGCTCAGGGTAGTACGTCAAGAAGAACACATAGAATGAGGTCTACGTTGAACAAAGACGCAGAGCTTTAGAGGACTTACTTTTGAGTGCCGGTTGCATGCTAATGAATTGCAGACTTTGCAAAACGGCTCGCAATTAACAATACGGCTGCTAAGACCAGTAATCAATGTCAACAAGAGATGTTTTGTTATTGGGTGCGATCGGTGGAGTGGTGAACAGTGACAAACGAACCGATTAGAGGATTTTTCATAAAGGAAACGACTCACAAGGTTCGATTAGAGGTTCATAAAGGAAACGACTCACAAGGTTGCTGAAAACTCTTCGACAGCCCACGACCAGTTTCGCCCTTCTTGGGGCTCATCCATCACAAATGAGTGTAGTTCTTGAAAACAGTGCAATTTGGGTTCGATTAGAACATAAGGTTGACGGTAACTCGGGGACTGCGCCTACCTGATGAGCCCCAAGAAGGGCGACACCGGTCGTGGGCTGTCGACGAGTTTTCAGCAACCTTGTGAGTATTTTCCTTCATGAAAATATACTGCGATATCTCGAATATTGTACCACCTGAAACCTGAGGCGACCTGTGTGCAGCATATTCAGTTGTAGAACATCATAAACGAGAGATTCAGTTGTGTCTCTCGTGAAAACCAAATTGATTTGCAAATGAGTGTATTTGTCGAAAACAGTCCAATGCGGGCTCAAGTAGATCATAAGGTTGACAGAAACTCGGGGACTGCGCCTAACTGATGAGCCCCAATAAGGGTGAAAAAACCGGTCGTGGACTGTCGGAGAGTTTTCCGCAATATTGTGAGTAGTTTCCTCTATAAAAATACCCTGCCGTGTGTTTATCTACTTACGGAGGATTCTTACT